ATATCAGAGTGGGATGTATTTTCAAGGATCTCAGTATTATACAGCTTCATCTGCTGGCATTCTTTATAATGTTTGTGGATCTGAAATACTTTTAAATCAGAAGAAATTCTGGGGAATGTTTCTCTGGGTTGTGATCTGAGTGTACCCAAACAGGTCATTTCATTTGTTCTCATACAAATAAATCAACCAGTTGTAGAATAGGTGAATTGCTTGTTTTAATTTTTTCCCCCAAGGAAATCACAGTTTATAATGATGCCAGTACACATGCCAATTTATCGCTCTGCTTATAATATGTGTTTGCTCGACCTACAGTAGAAATCTATTTGAACAACAGAACTGATCTGTCAAAAACGGAATGACTGTTCATAGATGGATGTTTTAAAACAAAAAAAATGAACGTTATGGATTTCTACTGTAAATTAAACAAACACATACCCTTTTACTTGCTATATACCATGTGTATCCTAACAGACTCAAGGGTTAAGATACATCATATGCAAATGTTGCTCATATAATTAACCTCTTTTAAAGGAAAGCTACTGCAAACTGATTCCTGAAAAATGTTTTAGTTGCATCTACAGGATTAATTTGTATTGTGCTTTGCCTTGTTTTTTGTCAGTATTAATATTTTAGGTCCAATCCTGCTTTCATTCCTGTCGGTAAGAATTTTGCCTATTACTTCAAAGGCAAATAGGATAAGTTCCCTTCTTCAGAAAGCATGGCATTGAAATTGATCAGCTGGTGAGAGTGCTTATATACCCTACATCTCTTAAAGCTCAGAGTTTGGTTCTTGGACTATCTAATATATTACAAATCATGTGAACAGTGACATTTGATTCTTAATTTATTAGACACAAACATCTCTGTTTGCAATAGTTTGTTCTTGAAGGAAAAGCAAGCAACAAAATTGCTATTAATATAAATTTGGGCCCATGTGTACCAATTATTTTGTTAAAGGAACCCTAGTCTAGTGATTAAAGCATAAGACTGGCAATCAGGAAATCTAAAGTCAGACCTGGGTCTGCCACATGTTAGATGTGTGTGACCTTGGACAAGTTACTTTGACTCTCTGAGTCTCATTTCCCTCATCCGTAAAAATGAGAATAATGGCCTACATGTTCAAAAAGTGATTTTGTTTTGGGTGCCTCACTTTTTGGCACCCTACCTGAGACATTTTAAAGGGGACTGATTTTCAGAAAGTGCAGCATACATGTGCTCTTAAAATCTGGCCCCTTTAAATTGGCTCAAGTTGGGCACCCAAAAGTTGAGATACCCAGAATATTTAGCCACTTTTGAAAATGTTGGAAGGAAGGTGCAATAGCAAGACGAAGTACTTTTATTAAACATTGCTAGGAATGTATTATATTTATGGTAGCATCAGGAAAAACTAATGGGGCAAGGGAAAAATAGGATGAAACATGTATAGGTCTGATTCTGATCTCACTCTGGTATATATCAGGAGTAATGCCACTAATGTAAATGGAGTTATAGTGGTGTTAAACCCATGTGTGTAAGAAAGAATCAGGACCTACGGATCCAGCCCTGACTAACTGACAGTGCAAATTCCAAATTGAGAACACTGCAGTTGAATATACAAGTTGAAATTTTCTTTCTGTGAGCATTTGAGCTTAACATTTGCTTTGTGCAAGTATTCATACACGTGACACGCCAATGCTTGAAGGCTCTCAGAAAGCAAACCTAAAAGGTGTGTGAACACAAATCAAAATCCACTATTGAATTGCAGCAAATATCCACCAGAAAACATTCCCACTATTTGCTCGCCTGTATGAAAATGATTGAAATATACACATTGTCTCTGCACAGCCTTTTCATTGATTTCTTTAAAATCTGTAGCATTAAGAAGTTGGTCCGATGAAAGATATCACCTCACCCACTTTGTCTCTTTAGCATTAAGAAACGTTTTCTTGAGTTCTGCCACCCACTTCTGCCCTGGCTGAAAAACATTTCTGTCTCCTATCATAAGAGGGTGTTTTAAAGCCAGATTGGATGGCTCTCAGATGTGGTAGCTTTTGTTGTGGAGGCCTGTCAGTTTAGTACATTTTTGAGATGAGTACATCAGGGAAAAGACAGTGGGAAAAAAAACCCCTTAAGGCTTTGAGAATGTGTTGAGTATAATTTAAAATGCTATATAGACAACTTCTTTAACATAACACAGTAGGGACAGCTTGGTGCCTCTTTAAAGTTATTTTCTTTATTAGCAGGGGATTTTTCAGTCATCAGATCTTCTAGTCGTTTGTTTCTCAAGGATTGACTGTTCTTAATACTATGAGGTTGTTGTTCTGGGAGCAGGTAGCTAACTTTCACAGGTCATGCATCTGTTCTGAGAATCATTTGCTGAATGTGATAACGCTACTATTTAACAGGTTAATGACTAAGAATGCAAAAGGGCTGCATGGACAGTGAAGTGAATGTCCATTACTGTAGTACCGAAATGGCCAGATTAGCCCCTGGGGCATTTAATGCTGGTATATTAAGCAGCCTGGCAGATGGTAGTTATTGAACAGGCTAGTGGCATTTCAGGTTCTCAGAGGGCATCAGCTCTGTAGCCTTTTTGTTTCTTGAAAATGTAAAGCAAAAAGCTACTCTCTCTTCCACAGTGCTTTACCCCTACTGATGTCAGTGAGGGAGCCACACACATAAGAAGAGAAGGACTCGTGGATCCAAGGGGAGAAATTTAAATAATAATACTCTGCATTTTTATATGATCAAAGCACTGTACAGACATTAACCAACTAATCCTTCCAGCAGCCCTGTGAGGTGGGTAGGTTACTAGGATTGCCCCTATTTTACAGATAGGGAAACTGAGACAGAGAGGTGAAGTGACTTGCCAGGGCCATAGAGTGTTTAAGTGGCAGAATCAGTAGTACAACTCAGGACTGCCTGAATCTCAACCCTGTACTCGTTTCTCCAGACCACATCACTGTGATAGTAGTAAACACTGATGTTGTAGTAGCACCCAACGGTTCCAATTAGGCTCAGGGGCCCCATTGTGTTTGGTGCGTTCTAGAAAAGACAGTCCCTGCCCTGAGGGCCTTACGTGTAAAGACATAAGCAGGTGAAGGGTAGCAAGTGGGGGGACACTGTACAACCAAGTGAGTCTGGTGACGAATTGGCTCAGCTCTGTTAGTTCTATGAATTGCAGTCATTCTTTGGGTTGGGTTTGGTTTGGTTGGGTATGACCCCTGCCTTCCTGTTTTACCCATAGATTTAAAAGTCCATAAAAATGTCATCATGGGTTACAGTTAATTGTGTTACATTGTACATGCCATGATATTATTTGTAATTTTAATAAACTTGTTACCTACATTAGAGAATCTTGCATCTTGGACATTGACTGTGGGAGGTGGAAATGGCATTTGGTAGTCTAGACTTTTTTTAAAAAAATTACCTCTGGAGGAGGAAATGAAGCTGTTTTTTTGATGCTGCTCCTTTTCAGATGATTAGAAAAAGTATTCTCCTGATCTTTTCAAAATAGACTCCTTATGCCAAGTCACACCTTCCACCTCAACTGGTAGATGGTGGACTTGCATGTCCTATTTGAGAGCCAGCTACTGGACTTTCCTTCTCTCTTGGCTAGATGTTTGATGTACTGGCTCTCTCCTCTAACTTACTGGACCTCAGCAATTCATTCCCCTTCTGTCTTGATTAGTCTATTTCTCTCTGACATCCTCTCTGCTCATTTCTCACATACAGAAGATCCTCTTGTCATGGTTCCTTTGTTCCATGGATTAGGCACTGACCTCTGTGGCTGTCCCAGAATTCATTCTTCCATGTTACCTTTCATTTCTGCTTCAGATCCACTCCTATGCTCTATTGAACCCCACTGCTCTTCTCTGCACCATCCATTACCTTGATCATTACATTCTTCCTTACCAAGTTGATTCTAGAGTCCTGTTATTCTTTGCTGTTTCTCAAAATGTCCTCCTGAGGCTTTTCTTGTATTGCCCAGTTCTCCTACAAAAAAAAGTAGCTCTCAGAAGCTCTCTCTTTAACCGAGAGAAACAGCCAGAAGACATCTCACTGCACAGCACCATGGGACTGAGAGAGAAAACATGGGCAGAATGTTTCTGCTATAGTGATTAAAGGCAAGATTTTCAAAGCACTCGGTATCGATCTAACTCCGCTTCCATTGCAATCAAATTCCCATTGGCTTTAACAGGAGCAGAGTTAGGCCAGCACTTCTTAGCGTATGCACAATGTGTCTCAGGTGGCAAGTGATCAGGATTCATCACCAAATTTGGTCTGCTGGTTGGATCATTAGCTTCTCCATCCCAGCCCAGGTACTGATGGGGAGTACGATGCCAATGCTGATCCATGCCACCCGGGTCAGTACTGAGAAATTCTGAAAATCCCACCTCAGAGTCTTATTGTTCATCTCCCAATCATCTAGCAAGGCATCCAGATTGTAAACAGCAAGAGACAAGGACAAAGAAATCTTCTTGTGTTGACTGTATCTTTACATGCTAATTGGTCCCGCAACATACAATGCATGTGCGATGACAATTACTAGTTGTATGTTATGTATATCGTTTCTAAATGGCTAGTGTTTCATTGGTTGCTAGCAACCTGGTTTCTGTGGTTCAATTACTCTTGGACCTAGGTTTAAATAAGGAATAGTGTTTGGGTTACAAACTTCCTAGGTTACTGTGGTTAAATTGTGTATATTGTTTTGCTTGGTAGGTATTTTTTTTATTATTATTCATTCTGGCCTTTTTCCCTTCTAGACTAATTTACCATATATCCTGAGTAAAAAAAATGTAGCCAAAATTTTAGCCAACACCAAACCCACCTCTGAATTGGTTTGCCCATTGCTTTGCATGCAAAATTAGACATGCATCTCATTTGGAGCCCCAAAACCTGGATCTGGACATGCAGAATGAACAGCTGGAAGCCCACCTATCTAGTTTGCTTTTGCATGTGACTATGTGCAGACCCAAATCGGTGCATGCCCATTTTGGCAGATGCAATCAGTTGGATCCGCACATTTGGAGGCTGAGGCTATCCTGCCGTTTGGTGTGTGCATGTTCCATTTGTAGCAGAAATATTCCAGGGAAATTTTCCCAAACCTCCTTTTTTGGACCTAAGTCTGTAATCTGTCTGCCACTCAGAACTCCCATGGACTTCACGGGGAGTTCCGTAAGGATGATGCTTGCAAGAAACGGTACATAATGTCTGATAAGGTAGATATATCAACTTGATTTTTATAGGTTTTTATCCTGCTTGCTTGGAGTGGCACATCCCCTAGAAATTGATTAGCCTGCTACAGCCTTGGCTAAGAGAGATGTGCCATTTAGCTCCAGAGGTCCCAGGTTTGATCCCCATTGCCAACATTGCCATGAAATTGGATTATTTCTCCTGGGAAAGGCACAAGTACATTCTTGCTGTATCTTTAAGGTAGAATACATATTTATGGAGCTGCGATGCTGGATCATCTGCCTCCAGTAACGCTGTCTCTTTATCCATTTTTCAAATAATCAGTCTTGAGAATGCCATGCCAGTATCTGAATGCTCAAGTTTGACAGTCTGTCCGTAATGAATGGAGCCATCTCTCCCTGCAAATTCCTCTCCCTCTATGTGCAAGTATCTGATGCTACCTGTTCGGGATTGAAGTCTATTAAATAGTGCCACTTTTGTCCCTGATGCAATACATAAGTCTACATTTTTCAGTGATTGTTTCGTTTTAGAAGGTTTGGAGATTACTTTGATCCATTCACTGAGGAACACACCAATGTCACTATTGCCAGAGAACATTTTTACTGATAACATGAAGTGCTTTCTCTTGTCTGAGTCAGAGATGTCCAATGTTTTGGACGTGCAATAGTTCTTTCCTTCCAAATTTAGCTGTTGCATTCCTTGGTCGTGGTGTCCTATTCCAATGAAAGCAGGTGGTTGTGACTCTTGTTCAGAGCAACCATCACATTCCCTTTGCTCGTTTTTTTTTTCTTTTTCTTCCATCCACTGCCCATACAATCGTCTCCTCGTTTCCTGGTTTTGGTACATGTCCTGAGTGCCTTGTTCAGGGAGATTCCAGGGCACTAGATTACAATAATCCAACCTGTTCACTGACGTTGCAACACTATACCCTACAATTAATATTATTCTAATAGGGCCCAGGATGATTTGCTTTAGGAAACTGATATTGTTCCAAAAAATTAGGTGCTATGTATGCTTAGTAAAAATCTTTAGTACTTGAATTTCTGGCTATGGAGCCTCTAAAAGGTATTAATCTATTAGGGTGTACAAGGCTCTCTTCCATTGGGTCTGATTTTAGCTTCAATTCTGGTTTAATCAGAGTCCTCTACTTTAGCTCAGCATCATAATCTGGGGTCACCATTATTCAGCCAGTTTCCTAAAAATATCTACTCTCTCTTCACAGGGGTGTGGTCCAACTCCCACTGATGTCAATAGAAGGATTCCCGTTGATTTCAGTGAGTGTTGTTTTGGGCGTTAGGCAATTAACTTTGCTAAGCATTTTTGTGGCCTGGTAGGGTGAATCTGACATCCCTTGAGACTGCTTCCTAAACTGGCCAGTGCATTGACCAACAAAAGAGTCCTAATTGGACAGATGCTTGTAAACTTCCAGAATTTCTCTTCCTGAGCCCTAAACCTTACAGAGCCTACAAGGCAGAGCCCCAAGGCCTTTCTGCTAAACATGACCTCCACAGGGCTATGCATCCTATCAACACAAAGATTCCCCGCTGCTCTGTTAGTGATGGTAATATAGCATTCAGGCCTATATATTTGCCTGAAATAGAATTTTGGGTTTTGCTTGCCCGTTTGACTTTTGATATTCTTATATCCTTACTAACATGTGTGAACAAAGTCACTGTGTGTTGCTTCTACCCAACCAGATGGGTTTGTTAGTATAATGAGAAGACTCTCACAGGTGTCTCCGAAGCACTAGGCTACTTGTGGGATGGTGCAGAGTATAGATCACCCCTTGCTCAGGACTATGCCTACAGGCATAAACAACAGCATAGTTGGCAGCTTTAAACAAAATACAGCTACACGTCTGCATGACATCAAGTTTCCAATCTGTGAATTAGCCTCTGGTGCCATTAGTTTTTGGCACAGCTAGAACCAACCTACATATACATGGATGTCTGCAGGAAGCCAATGTTTGCCGAGTACAACCATTGTATAATAGCAGCGTAGTTGTTTCTTAAACAGAGAGAGAGACCGGTGAGTGAAGTGGTAAATATTGCCATCTATTCCGTGGAAATGCACATTTCCCATGCAGCTCGCAGTCGGGAAATCAAAGCAAGTCACCATTTGTAATTGTCACAAGGGAAAAATTGGACTTTTTCTTTAGCTGAAAAAGCAAATGAGCTGGGACCAAATATGGAAAAAGAATTATATTTCAAAGGATGCATATGTAGATATCTGTACAGAATCCTGGACGTGTTTTGGGAAAAGGCTTTGAATTAAAGTGTTGCTTCAGTGGAAACCATGATACAAAATGAAAAAGAGACTAAAAAGTGCATATAATAGAAGTGATCACATAAAGCTGCGCTGATAAGCAGTCACTCACAGTGTAGTTCCATTAGAGAAGATGATAGCTATTTGAAAGGTTATGTTTAGTAGCGACCTTGTGACTCTGACTTCCAGGCTGTTAAAAACTATTTGTGTGACTAACTGCGCAGCAGTGCTACTCCTCCCCTCCCCGTAATCCAAACCACAAACCGCCCTGGAACACCCAAACCACAAACCAGCCCCTCTACCTAATGCCACAGTCCCACATGGCTGAAGTAAGCAACGCAACGACCCGCAAGCGAAAGGAAAAATCAAACCCAAAGCAGGCTTGTAAGCTTTTTATTAGCAATGTGCTCATGCGCAGAGAAGAGGATTGCACAATCACGCTCTCCGGCGGGAAATTAAAAAAAAAAAGCAGAAGCCCCGCCCCTGGGAAACGCCCCCAAACAATCAACAAGCAAATATAGGCACAATAGAGCAATTACACAAAGAAAGAAGCCAAAATCCGCTTACTGTGAGCGGGCTTGGCAACATTCCAAATCGGAAGGGATTGACAGTTATGGTCTTTAATCTGTAGCTGTAAACAATCTTCCAATGCAGGTTCCTTTGCAGCCTTTAAGTTCCAGTCAGCTGTGATAAGGAAGAAAGGCCTGGGATGCTTGCAGTTTGTTCCAAACCTGTTAGTAAGTTGTCTCATTAAGAATTAATCTCACAGCAGCGCTGAGAATCAAGAGCAATTGATTAGCAGTAATTAGAGTTGGCTGGAAAAAGGTAAATATTTCATGACCAATTAAAAAAAATGCATTCAATTTTTTTCATGAAATTGTTCATTTTTCAATGCAAAAAGATTTTTTCTTTTTTTCCTCAAAATTTCCAAAACATTTCATTTCGGCAGGAAAAACAATATTCTCTCTTTCCGTTTTTACTGGTTTGTCTTGTTTTCAGTGGAAAAAAATAAATAAAAGTGAGAGAAAGTGGGGAATGGGAGAACTCTTGTCATTTATTTTGCACCGGAAAAAGGGGAAACAAGAAAAAGACTAATTTTTTTCATTTTGTATTTTTATCAAAATGGAAACATTTTGAAGAAACAAATAGTTTGGCAAAACATTTAGATTTTTGTCAAGGCAGTATTTTCAAACATTTAGTTGAGTTTTAAAATTTTTACCCACTCTAATAGTAACTAGATGGCTCACCATAATCATTATGGGTCAGATTATGATGACTTTATTCACATTTAATAGTATCTCCATTGAGTAGTTAATGAGTGGTGTTACCTGTGGAGTTAAATGCCACCTAATATGAGTAAGGGTATTAGAATCTGGCTTTATAGTAACAACCAGGATTGAAGTACTATATGTTACTTAAAATAAAATGGATGATATTTGTATAATAGGTTTACTCCTATCTATAAGAGATAATGGATGTTCTTTTTCTCCTCCATGGTGACACCCAGCATCATATACCTTGTCTCAGTCCAAAATACCTATGCACATGTGCCAAGTGCACTTGAATTTTGCTCAGGCAGTGGGCTTTGACGGTTGGAAGACTGGGAACAAATTGTACCCATTTTCCATCAGCCAGAGGTATATTTCCAAGTCTGATCTCACAGCCAGGTGACTGCCTCCAAATGTTAGTGAGATATGCTGCTGGGCTGGCACATTGTCAGACCATACACACACAATTTGAAAAAAAGTGGTAGATATTTTGTCATTCTGACTAGGTATTTAGGGCCTGTTCCTCAGGTGGCGTAATTCAGTGTAGTTACATTGCATCAAAGGAGCTATGTCAATTTAGACCAGCTGAGGATCTGCCCCATTTAGTTTACAAAAAAATTTGACAGAAGAAAAGGAAAAACGGGCAGTTTTAGCAGTTTTAGCTCAAGATGCAAGAACAAAAGACAGGCTGTGGAATTGCTCCTCCTTTATAAAGAAAGCTCAGTGTGTACCTGGGATGTGTACTGTAAAAGGAGTAATTATGAGTGCATTGAGAATAATTCTACACATTATACTCACAATCACCCGCAAAGGGCCAGATCCTCAATACCGGCACACATCAGTGCACAATCGCTGAAGTCAATGGAGCTATCCTGGTTAACACCAGCTGAGATCTGGCCCCCCAAAATGCATAAATATGTCCATATATGACATGCGTCTGATGAAGTGGGTATTCACCCACGAAAGCTTATGCTCCAATACGTCTGTTAGTCTATAAGGTGTCACAGGACTCTTTGTAGCTATGTACACATATTGGCCTGAAGGAGACAGAAAAAAAAGTTTGATTACACACTTCAGGTGAAAGCCTGACTCAGTTGAAGTCAATGGGGGGTTGCCATTGACTTCAGTGAAGCCAGGATTCCTGCCTTCATGTGAGTGAGAATTTGCTCAGGATATCATTCTGAAATGGCTGAATATGAATGAATCACTCCTGATTAATCAGCTGTTAAGAAGAAGTATTAAGCAGGGGGCGGGTTAGCCAATTTGCTAATCAGCGACTCAGTAACCACATGACCATCTGAAGAGAGCTACTTAAAGCGTGACTCAGCTGTCGAAGTGGGAGAATGATTAGCACTGAAACGTTTATGTGGTGAATTTTCCCTTCTATTCTGGTTCATGAATTGCCTGCCACCAGATCATGATTTTCTCAGACTTACTTGTTAGTTAAAGTTATTTGCTGTGTAATTTCTGCAAATAATTTTTGGTCCTCAGATTGTTCATTGCACATATTCAAAATTTGAGCTGTGTTGCCTACTTTTAATAGTACATGAAAGTCACATGACACGTTTCGGTTCCCTGATTGGATGACAGTAACTCTTAGAATCAGGTTCCTGGTGCAAAAGCTCATTGTTACTGTAACAGAGTGGCCTGCCCCTTTTAGGGGCCAGAGGCCTGGGGCTACCCCAGCACAGTTCAATCAGCCCCTTGCTTGATGAGGATGAACTAAGGAGGTCAGGTGTTAGTATGGTGAACACCTGGGCCTCTTAATAAAAAAGGCTTACGAGAACTCAGAGGGAAGCTGAGGAGGAACCACAGGGAGGCGCCTGGATTCCTGTGGAAGACCCTGGAGTAGGATGTGGAAGTGGGGCTGAGACAGTGAGGCACTCCAGGGAAGGAGCCTGGGAGTCAGGGGTCTATCCCAGAGCCCAGAAGGGGCTGGGAACTGAGCCCGTAGAGTGGGCTGAAGAGGAGCCCAAGGCGGTGAAAGACCCGTTTATTTGTGTGAACTTTTGGTTGGACTTCTGTTACCTGGAAGGGGGTTAGAACTACACGTAACTTAGCTCGAGGACTAACTCATGGACAGAAACAGGCCATCAGAGGCCAAAGAAGCAATCAGCAGGGAGTGTTAGCGGCAACCCCCCCTGCAATGCCATGCACTAATGCCAGGGGGCATTAAGACCATGGGTGGAATTGTTTACCATTACAAATTCCAAATTTGCTTTCCAGGAGTATCCTCCAATGGTCACTTATAATTTGCTGTTTCTACAAACATACCTGCCAGCAAACTTATTCACTAGAACTTTCATTGGAAGCAAAAAAAACCCACCAGGGATGTGAATCTAGCATAATTTAGAGTCATCCGATGATGCCATTAAAAATAATATTGCAATTTCAGGAAGGTATTTTGGTCACATTCTCCCATATGAGGATACCAAGCCCTATTCTGCAAAAATAGCAATAGACACTTGAGATGCAGCCACCAGAGTACCATCCTGAGCAAGAAAAGATATTGAGGATGATGATTTCCCTGTTGAGATTATACCATGTCTTGCAGGAGTTTTAGCATCACTGAGAGATCTCCGAAAGGAAGATCACAGCACAACAAGGTCTGGTCTGCACTTAAAATTTAGGTTGATTGGAATAATACCTGATTAAAATTTGCTAATAGCTCAAAAACCACCTGGCTAACCAAGGGCATGTTAACCATTAAAGATATTATTGAACAGACAGTTTTAGCCTCCTTCACATAT